TTTATGGCTTAGTCATATTCCATTATATATATGCACCACATCTTTATCCATTTATCTATTGATAGACACTTAGATTGCTTCCATCTCTTAGTTATTATAAATAATGCTGCAGTGAATATATGAATGCATATAGTTTTTAGAATTATTGTTTTGGGTTTCTTTGGATAAATGTCCAGAACTGTAATTACTGGGTCCTTCTTTGTCTCTTGTTATATAGCCTTTGTTTTAAAGTCTTATTTTGTCTGGTATAAGTATTGCTACCCCAGCTTTTGTTTGTTTGTTTCCATTTTCATGAAATATCTTTTTCCATCCCTTTACTTTCAGTCAGTGTGTGTCTCTCAATCTGATATGTAAGAGTCTTGTTTTGTTATTCACTCAGCCTCCATGTCTTCTGATTGAAGCATTTAATCCATTTGAACTTAAAGTAATTGTTGATAGATGTGTATTTGTTGCCATTTTATTATTCATACTAGTGTCCTGGTGCACAGATTCATGCACATTGAGAGGAAATTAATTAGAAGAAATATTTTAATATCGCTCTTTGCCCTTTCTCTATAATAGAAGTGTCAACCAAATTCACAATCGACAATTCAGATTGAAACACACGTGTGTGATTGGCACCAGCAAGAGATTTATATGTATTGCACATGTGTGAGTCAACTTAGCCTTTTAGAGATATAGAACAAACTTTCTTAATTAGACCTGCTTTCTGATTTAGCTAAACTTTTTCCAGCCCAGTGAAGCACCTCAACTTCTCTTTCAGGTAATTGTCAGCAACACAGCAGTAAATATCAACACCAAGCAGATTATTATTGTAGATCTCACAGGGAGAACAAAGAATAAAATATTTAACTGCAACAGTGTTTGACTATATTCTGTGCAGTGAGAAAACCTGAAGTCATTTTCAAGGTCCACCATTTCTTCTTTTCAGTCTGGTCAACTTTCTAAATCTCTTGTTTTTCTGCTAATGAAAAGAAAATATGATTCTACTGAGTCTCCTATCTACCTACTCCAAGACTTCTGTGAGGATCAAATGAGATAAGGCACATGAAAATGCTTCACATTTGGTTAAAGTGTAAAATGTTTGCACCTGGCTATAAAACAGGTTGTGTTCCTGGGCTGAAGAAACTCCAAGGAGGCTAGTTGCTAGGGAGAGGAAGCCGGACGTTGCTATGTGACATTACCCAGTGCCCACAACGACTGTTTCTGGGCTGGGCTGGGCTGTGGGACACATTTTGCGCCATGGGGTCTTGGCAGCATTGGCTGCAGTTTGTCACTGTGGGGTGGTCGTGGGGCTTGTCTCCCACTTGGGGAAGCTGAGTGTTGGTTTGTGGTGCCGGGTCTGTATCCGTTTATTTTTAAATGGATAGTGCGTGTCATGGCAGCTCCTGCATTGAGCGTCTGCCCCCTGGTGGTCAGTGCATGTCATAGCTACCAGTTGGACCGACACTTAGCCTTTAATATATATAGTTGTTGTTTTTTTATCTTCTTCTTAAAGAAGATTCTTTATCACTTCTTGTAATACTGGTTTGGTGGTGATGAACTCCTTTAGCTTTTTCTTATCTGGGAAGCTCTTTATCTGACTTTCTATTCTTTTTTTTTTTTTTAATATATTTTTATTGATTTTTTTTTTACAGAGAGGAAGGGAGAGGGATAGAGAGTTAGAAACATCGATGAGAGAGAAACATCGACCAGCTGCCTCCTCTACACCTCCTACTGGGGATGTGCCCGCAACCAAGGTATATGCCCTTGACTGGAATCGAACCTGGGACCCTTCAGTCCGCAGGCCAATGCTCTATCCACCGAGCCAAACCGGTTTTGGCTCTATTCTAAATCTTTGCTGGATAGCATAATCTTGGTTGCAGGTCCTTGCTTTTCATCACTTTGTATTCAATGCCAATTTCATTTGGCCTGCAAAGTTTCTGTTGAGAAATCAGCTGACAGACTTTGGGAGCTTCCTTGTAGATAACTAACTGCTTTTCTCTTGCTGCTTATGATTCTCTCTTTGTAGTTCTCATGAGAGAGTAACTTTCCCACATAGGGCTGGCATCAGGCTCAGTTTCCAAATAGCAGAGTTGTCATGGCCATTTACCTTCTGGTAGCCTTGCCCCTCTGTTTCCAACCCTGACCCCAATTTCTTGTTGCTCTGCTCCCATTTTAGTTTACTTTCTGGGTGTGTTTTATGTTGTTGTTGTTTTGTTTTTAGGAGGGGGGAGCCTTGAAGATTTCCCCTACCTCTTGTGAGACCAGCATTTCTCAAAGTGTATGACCTTTGCTATGGGAATGTTCTAAGGATCTAGTCCAGTGGCTCTCAACTTTCTGGCCCTTTAAATACAGTTCCTCATGTTGTGACCCCCAACCATAAAATTATTTTTGTTTCTACTTCATAACTGTAATTTTGCTGTTATGAATTGTAATGTAAATATCTGATATGCAGGATGGTCTTAGGCGGTCCCTGTGAAAGGGTCGTTCGACCCTCCAAAGGGGTCGCGACCCACAGGTTGAGAACTGCTGATAGTCGGTCATGATGCCAGAATTGGGAAAAATCTGCTGACACCAGGACACTCAGTTGTATATGTATGTATGTGTGTGTGTTTCTCCAGGAATTCATTGAAGAGTTGCTCTCTCCTCCTTTTGGGGGTCTGGTGGCATTTGTGAAGGAGGCTGAGGCTCTGATTGAGCGTGGACAGGCTGAACGACTTCGAGGGGAAGAAGGTATAAGGATGGTGTGATAGAAAAGGGGTCAGTGGTAAGGTGACTAGAAATGAAAAATGAGAGGATGTGGATTATATGGGGAGTGGGTGGATCAGGAAAGAATGGGTTGGGAGAACACCAGAAGAGAGGGGTTGGATGATGAGGATGGCTGTGCCCTGGGGAGGACTTGGTGGGATCAAAGATCATTTAGCCTAGTCTCTATCTGATACCCTCTTTTTCCTCCTGCCATCAGCCCGTGTTACTCAGCTGATCCGTGGCTTTGGTAGTTCCTGGAAATCATCGGTGGAGTCTCTGAGTCAGGATGTAATGCGGAGTTTCACCAACTTCAGAAATGGAACTAGTATCATCCAGGTGATCTGCAACTCCCAGCCCCCACTTCCACCCTGTCCCATCACTAATTTCCCCCCCTTTTCCTTGGGCTCAGCATCATCCAAGTGACCCTTGATCTTCAACTACCAGCTGTGCCCAGAGTTCTGGATAAGCCCCAACCTGGTTCTGAATCATCATCTCACAGTCTTACCCTCCTTGACTTTCTCTGACCAGGGAGCATTGACCCAGCTAATCCAGCTCTATCATCGCTTCCACCGGGTGTTGTCTCAGCCCCAGCTCCGAGCTCTCCCTGCCCGGGCTGAGCTCATCAACATTCACCACCTTATGGTGGAGCTCAAGAAGCACAAGCCCAATTTCTGATGTGCTGGATCCTGGGATTCACCAGCCCTCTCCGCGGACTCTACAGCCCACCCATACCTCTCTTCACCTCGTGCCCCTTCCAGTTCCTCCTTGCCTCCCAGTCTATGACATGCCTCACCCTGCCTTCATCCCCGGGGCCCTGCCTCTTCAGGGTAAGCTGCATTCCCTTGGCTTTCTGACTCTCCCAGTGTCTTTAGGTTTCCCAGGACCACCTTTCCCTGGGCTTCCAAAACGGCCGTTATCATTCTCCCAACGTTGTCACAACCCCTCTCCCCCTGAAAAACACACCAAAAACCCAAGGCTCTTTTCTCTTCCTCTAGTAAAACCTTCACTTGCCTCCATTTCTGGTTCATTCAACTCCTGTCACCATGTCCTGAGGTGTGAAGCCTCACCTCTTGGACTTGATGGCAAGGGGAGACTGCCTCCAAGTCAGTGGTGTTCTTTTCATGCAAAGTGACTTCTGTAGCTTTTTGGCCTACGATCCTAGCAACTTGAACACTAACCAGTCCCCCTCCTGGCTTGAGAAGTACTTCAAGGTCAGTCTGCAGGGAACAATAAATATTTAATATGACATAACACCCTTCTCCCATTTCCTTTCTCCTTCCTCCTGGGGCCTTCCAGTAGCCCCATCTGTGCTCCAGGGTTACCTCCATCCCTTTTGGTGGATGTTGAGAAAGTAGGGACACACAGTAACCTTTAACCTCTAGGCCAAAGTAGCTGCATTGGTTTTAGCGAGGGGATTATGTCGTGAGTACCCTGCCTGGTGGAGGAAGGTGGCCCCTGGTTAAAATGGCGGATGCACGGGCTGGGCACCTGGCTGTGCCACCGCAGGCACCGTCCCAAGGGCCACCCAGGGTCGCCTTGAGCCGGCCGTGGGGTTGCCAGCCCTGTCAGCTCACTAGCTGCTGGCTGCGGCCTCACGGCCCCTTGCAGAGGCTGCAGCACCCACACTGGGGACGGGGAAGCCAGGTTTGCAGGGTGTCCTCAGCCGTTTCTGGGTTTGACTTGGAGTCTGCTGCTGCCTCCGCCTAGACACCTTATCTGAACTTAGACTCTGGACTGGAGAGACGGGAGGCGCCTTTTAGCCCTAGGGGGAAGGTGCGGGCACCGGGAAAATGGTGATTTGGCCGTGTTTCCTTCATTCCTCTGCCCCTAAGGCCCAGGCGTTCCCTCCCAGGGCCCGGCGAGTGGCGGCTTCTACTCCCCGCTCACGCCCCCGGGCTGCGGGCCCAGCTTGCGGGGGGCGGGAGAGGCGGGCGGGGGGTGAGGAGCCGTTCTCCGGACGCCGCGCGGTCAGAGCGCCGGGTGCGAGAGTTCGGCGCGGGCAGCGGAGGGAAGGCTGGCGCGTTCCGAGGCGGGGCTCGAGCGGGCGCGGCTGGCGGGCTCCCGATTGGCTGCCGCGGCTGGCGGGCTCTCCCGATTGGCTGCCGCGGGGAGGGGCGTGGCGGAGAACCGCCCTCCGCTCCCGCCGTTTCTGGGCTCCGCCCCACTCCGAGAGCCGCGCTCGGTCCGCGTGGAAACCGGGTCTCGGAGCTTCGGCCCGGCCGCTGGGAGCGTCTGGGCGGCGCCCGGGCTGAGGGCGGGGAGGGCGGGCGATGTCGGTCCAGGGCGGCTCCGGGTTTGCCGAGACGCCTCGGGGCGGCACCGGGGCAGCGTCCTTAACTGACCCCCCGGGCGCCACCCCACCTTCCCTCTCGGCTCCGCCCAGGCCCGCCCCCGGCTCGGCGGGGTGTGCTGGGCTCGTGCCGCCGGCGGCCCGGCAGTCTCGATCCCCCCACCTCGCCCTTCTCGTTCCTCGCCCCCCAACACGCCCCCACCTCGAGGTTTCCCCTCGGGGGGTCCGGGTGGCCTCACATTTGCCCTGACTCCAGTCCCAGCGCCAGGAGCACAGAGGGCCCAGGGTCGGGCTCTGGCCAGGAGCGGGGTCCCAGCGGAAGGGCCACCGGAGCCCTGCGGGGGACGGCGGCCTCGCCGGAAGTCAACGAGGAGGCCAGGCCGGTGCGGGCGGCACCTGGGCTTCCGCCGTTCCCGCCTCCCCGGACCCAAATGCTCCGGCTTGACTGGCAGGCCAGGTGTTCTGTAGCTCCCCGAGGGGCAGAGCTGGAGAGTGAGGGGCTGTGGCTCTGCAGCCAGGGGGCGTTCACGTTACGCTGCAGAGTTTGGGGGACACCGCAGTCCCCGGGGTCCGGGCGAACCCCGTCCGGAAACTCCCTCTGGTGAAGGGAGCCGCGACACCTGCCGACGCCCAGGGGGCAGCACCGACCAGGGCACGGCGCTCCCGGCTCGCCGTTCTCGGCAAGGCTGCGAGGCTCCTCCCGAGGCCCCTTCCCGCAGCACCGGGGACTCTTCCCTCAGCACCGAGGCCCCTTCCCGCAGCACCGGGGACTCTTCCCGCAGCACCGAGGCCCCTTCCCGCAGCACCGGGGACTCTTCCCGCAGCACCGGGGACTCTTCCCGCAGCACCAGGGACTCTTCCCGCACCACCGGGGACTCTTCCCGCAGCACCGGGGACTCTTCCCGCAGCACCGAGGCCCCTTCCCGCAGCACCGGGGACTCTTCCCGCAGCACCGAGGCCCCTTCCCGCAGCACCGGGGACTCTTCCCGCAGCACCGAGGCCCCTTCCCGCAGCACCGGGGACTCTTCCCGCAGCACCTTGGACTCTTCCCTCAGCACCGAGGCCCCTTCCCGCAGCACCGAGGCCCCTTCCCGCAGCACCGGGGACTCTTCCCGCAGCACCGACGCCCCTCCCCGAAGCACCGGGGACTCTTCCCGCAGCACCAAGCCCCTCCCCGCAGCACCGGGGACTCTTCCCGCAGCACCGAGGCCCCTTCCCGCAGCACCGGGGACTCTTCCCGCAGCACCGACGCCCCTCCCCGCAGCACCGGGGACTCTTCCCGCAGCACCGGGGACTCTTCCCGCAGCACCGAGGCCCCTTCCCGCACCACCGGGGACTCTTCCCGCAGCACCGGGGACTCTTCCCGCAGCACCGAGGCCCCTTCCCGCAGCACCGGGGACTCTTCCCGCAGCACCGCGGCCCCTTCCCGCAGCACCGGGGACTCTTCCCGCAGCACCGAGCCCCTCCCCGCAGCACCGGGGACTCTTCCCGCAGCACCGGGGACTCTTCCCGCAGCACCGAGCCCCTCCCCGCAGCACCGGGGACTCTTCCCGCAGCACCGGGGACTCTTCCCGCAGCACCGAGCCCCTCCCCGCAGCACCGGGGACTCTTCCCGCAGCACCGGGGACTCTTCCCGCAGCACCGGGGCCCCTTCCCGCAGCACCGGGGCCCCTTCCCGCAGCACCGAGGCCCCTTCCCGCACCACCGGGGACTCTTCCCGCAGCACCGCGGACTCTTCCCTCAGCACCGAGGCCCCATTCCCGCAGCACTTGGGGACTCTTCCCGCAGCACCGGGGACTCCTCCTGCAGCGGAAAACCCCAGTCCGGGGCGGAGACGGGACCCTGGGATCCCCAGGCTGAAGCTGGTGACTTCTGGCGAACATCGCTGCCCCTCACTTTCTCGCCCACGCCTTTCCTGTTGCTCAGACCAGTACCGCCGGGGACGCTCCCTCGGACAGGGCAGCGTCAGGGTCCTCCTTCCCGCGCTGAACTCGGAGCGGTGTCTGCTGCAAGGTCCCCGCTCCCGCCTAGTGGCCTAGAGGAAGGACTTGGGGTGTCCTGATGGGTTGTAACAACAACCCCACTGCCAGGGATCTCGGTCCTTTGACCAAGACTGCGCCCTGCGTTATTTTAACTGGGCTTCTGGGGAACACTTGCTCGGGGTTCGACAGCTCCGTTTCTGCCCAATAGGAGGGTGCCCGGCTCAGCCCCGATTCCGTGGCCACTGCGTGTGGATGTGCGCTCCAGGGACACCCTTCTCCCGGCCTGTCCTCAGGGACCCACCGCCCTGCACTCGCAGGGTGACTTCTGATTCCAGGAGAGCAGGCAATAGGAGGAGCAGGCAAATTGGCTGGATTGCAACACAGGTTTAGGACAAAGAGTGGAGGAAAGAAGGAGAAAGCAAGACCAAGACAGAACTTGGAGGGGAAGGAGAGATCAGCTCTCATCTGGGAATGATGGATGCAGGATTCATGTTGCATTTGAGAGCTTACAGAGTGTCCTCAGACACAGTATTCATTAAACCGAGACATTTATTGACCCCCTCCTCTGAGTTCTGTGGCCTCTGACCTCCAGAGCAGGTATTCCATCTGAGCGGGTTCACACACTTGCCCGGTAAGGGCCGTTCTTCCGTTTCCTAGCGAGCAGTGAGCCCTACACCCACAGCCACTCTGGCTGGACCTTCTGTGCCACACTCACCCGCTCTGCACGACTCCAGACGGAAGGAGAAGCTGACGGGCAAGCTTTGGAAAAGGACAGAAGCCAGGACACTTCCAAGATGTAGACAACAGGGACGAAGGGCCAGAGGCTCATGGGCAGGAAGCAACGTTCTCCACCTGGCTCCCCGGGACCCAAAGGATCTGGCATGCAGGTGGGGGAGGTACGTTTTCTTTTCACTAACCTCAAACCGAAATTCAGCATTTCCTCCCATGATAAACGTAGGCAACAAAGCACAGTAGTATCAGCAGTACCTGTGACTCGCCAATAGCAATCACAGACTTTGTCACCTGTCACTTGCAGAAAAGAGGCCATATGTGCTCATCATTGCTTTGTAGTGATGGTTATGGTTGGAACCACCACTAGATCTTGTCATCACACGTTGGTTTTTTTATTTGGATAACTGCACTTCAATATAATTGTTTTCTTTTGTAATCCTGTGTATTTTATTTCATGCAGTTGAAAACTTATTCTGAGTCTCACCAGACTGCCAAAGGGGTCCAGTGTGTAAAAGGTAAGAGCCCCTAGATCTCTGATGAAATGGTAGTTTCCTGTTTGTTGTTTTTAATCCTCACCCAAGGATATTTTTTTTCCATTGATCTTAGGGAGAGAGTGGAAGCGGGGAGGAAGGGAAGAGAGAGAGAGAGAAACATTGATGTGAGAGAGACACATTGGTTGCCTCCTGAAGAATGCGACCTGATCGGGAATCGGACCTGCGACCCTTTGATCTACTGGTGGATGCTCTAACCACTTAGCAAATCGGCCAGGGCAGTCAACCATGGTAATTGGAAAGGTTTTCTTAATGTTTGAACTAAATGCCTGCTTATGTAATTTCTGCCTGTATTTTCTTGCCTCCATTATTACTCAGTTATTCATTCGTTCATCACATATTCAGGAAACACCTTTCTTGTACAGAACATTGCTGCACAAAACTGCTACCAGGGTCAAAACAATCCTCAGTTGCCATGGGCTCCCCTGGGGCTCCCAGCTGGGAGAGGAGTGGGGTTGTGCTCTCATGGCCCCGACTGAGGCTGCAGCTTGCGGAGGGGGGGGGGGGGGCTGAGACAGGCAACAAGAGAGTGTGTTGTCTGTAGGGAATTTTATATTAATACTAAACCCGACTTTTTATTGTTGCCATGTACCAGCAATTCTACAATAATGTTAAACACAGTATTCCTCCCCCACCCCCACCCAGCTTGTTATGCCACTGCACACGGGAGTTAGCCATGTCCAGTTCACACATGACACATAGGAAGCCTAGAGACTTCCCTTCCCTTCCCCTACTCCCCCACACCAGTCAGCTCCCGGCCCTCAGGGCGGGGCCTGCTCCCGGGTGAGTGAGGCCCCTCTGTGAGCCCTGTGCCCAACCTGCTGGAGTGACAGCAATGTAACCGCCAGTGTGGGCTGCTTTATCCAATTCCGGGAATTGCCTTTAGTCACTTAGCTGAATTTCTTCGCCGAACATTTCTTTTCTATTTTATTGGTGTCACCTCTTTTTTTTTCCTCTCCTATTCTCTGTATATGAGTTTCATGTGCTAACTTTTTTCTAGTGTCTCAAGATGACTCTCAAATCACTGGGTTTTAGCCCTGTTTTCTTTCTTTTTTTTTTTTAAATATATTTTATTGATTTTTTACAGAGAGGAAGGGAGAGAGATAGAGAGTTAGAAACATCGATGAGAGAGAAACATCGATCAGCTGCCTCCTGCACATCTCCCACTGGGGATGTGCCCGCAACCCAGGTACATGCCCTTGACCGGAATCGAACCTGGGACCTTTTAGTCCACAGACCGACACTCTATCCGCTGAGCCAAACCGGTTTCGGCCTGTTTTCTTTTCTAACATAAGGATTTCATTATATAAATTTCCCTCTGAACACTGGTTAGTTATATCTAACAAGTTTTTATATGTTTTATCTCTATCATTACTGTATTCAGTTCAAAGAATTTTCTAATTCCTACTGTATTTTCCTTTATCCAAGGAATATTTAGAAATATATTATTTGATACCTAAGCAGTTTAATACTTTCTTATAGTTTTATTATTGATTTATACCAGTGATGATGAACCTATGACACGCGAACTCATTTTTTTGGTTGATTTTTCTTTGTTAAATGGCATTTAAATATATAAAATAAATGTCAAAAATATAAATCTTTGTTTTACTATGGTTGCAAATATCAAAAAATTTCTATATGTGACACGGCACCAGAGTTAAGTTAAGGTTTTTCAAAATGCTGGCACGCTGAGCTCAAAAGGTTTGCCATCACTGATTTATACCTTTCCAAGGACGTACTGAATGGCTTGAAGCCTTTGAGATGTTTGAAGCTTGCTCTGTGACATGGCATGGGTAATCTGGGTAAATAAAGTTTGATATACAAAATACGTGGCTTCTTGTGCTGTTGGGGGAAGTGCTCTGCCTTTGCTGTCGGCCACGCTGTTAACCGTTCCTCAGATGCTCTGTGACCTTAGTGGTCTTTCCTTGTGTGCGTGTGTGTTTTCTATCGGTTGCTGAAAAAGGCATGTAAAAATCTTCCACTATGAGTGTGGATTGTTAAATTATTTTCATTGAATTTTGTCAAATTGTTTTGTATATTTTAACGTATGTTTCTGGCTGTATATTACCTTGGGTTTGGGGAAGGGAAGGAGTCATGATGGAACTGCGATATCCTGTTGTCTCCCAAATGGAGCTGGGATCAGCGTTCAACGTACCTTTAAGTTCAAGATCTGGATCAGAGTCAGAGGAGGTCAGCACCACTGGGGGGGGGGGGGGGGGGGGCGGGCTCTGGTGGGAGAAGCCCAGGACACAGCTATGGAGATGATGGAGCGCTCAGGGCCCAGGGCTCCACCTGCCTTCCTGCGGATCCTCAGTGTAGACACATGTAGGAGAGGAGGGACAGCAGGTCCTTGATGGGAACAGGGATGGGCCAGGCCTAGAGCTAATGGGAGGTGCAGTCGCCCAGTCTGCACAGGGAAGCCTGAAAGACAGTCTCCTCCCACTTATATCCCAGGATCCCGGGTGGGGCTTCCCTGTAAGGACAGGGCCCAGGCTTGCTCCTTGACCTCTGGTTGGCCTCATTCCTAGTCCTGAGAAGTCCCACCAACAGCATCTGCAGGCATGGTCGCCAGCTCTTCCTCACGCCTGGGGCGTGGGCCCTGGGCATCGGCTTTGCTTTTGACAGCTGTGCTTCCAGTTCCTCATCTCCAGCTGTACCCCCTTCTTCAAGAAAACGCTGGGTTTCTGGGTCTCTCCACGATGAATTAGCTGGCCTCAAGTTTCCCCTGGTCCCGCTGCTTTATCCTCTGCTTTCTGGAGACTTCCAATCGTTTTCCCTGGAAGTGTCGCTGTCTCCATTTTTATTCCTGGGTGTGGTCTGCAGCCACCAGGCCCAACCCAGGGCCTGCAGGGAGCTGACCGCTGGCTGAGCTGCAGGACTGAGGTGAGTCAGGCAGCCCCAGCGTGTGGAGCTATGCTTTCTCACTTCCAGCCACTATTGAAAGCTTGGATGGGATCGCGTCGGACCCACCCACAAAGCTTCCCTTTTGATTGACTCAAGATAAACTGATTTGAGGCTTCAGTTGCATCTGCGACATCCCTTCCTGGCAGCACCCAGACTAACATTTGACTGAATAACTGGAGAGGATATGTAGTGACCAACTAGGGCAGTGACTGCAAGGGCCCCACGTTCCCAGTGACAGGATGTGAGGCTGTTAGTGTCTACAAACGAGCCCTTCCCAACCCACACTCCCCTTCCCTGCCTGAGTTAGTGCAAATGAATCCGGCGATGTCTTCTGGACTCGGCCTGGAGGAGTGTCTGTGACTTGGGGAGAGTGGTCTGAAGGAGGGCTGGGAAGACGCCGGCTTTCAGCTGCTCCAGGTGGAAGGGCAGTGAGGTCTGCTCTTTCGGAGGCACAGGCGGGTTTCGGTGCCGGAAGCCGCTTACCCTCCCAGGGTAAGCCGCTTTCCTGCTCCCCTCTACCCCCAGCGCTCCCCAACCTGATGGCCGTAATCCCATCCCTGCTTGACCAGTGATTTGATGGCCACCCAACCACCTTAGTGGAGGATTTGAATACAAAACTCAGCTCCCTCTGCACTCCTCAAGGACAGAGCCACACCAGCTGCGAGCTCTCAGAGAAGGAGCTGCCGGTGTGTCAAACGCGGGACATTCCACCCAGAGCCCCCCCCGCCGGCTCAGCACCAGTGGCTCCGCCAACGCACCCATAGGACGGAGCCCAGTTTTGCTGGTGACCACTCACTCGGGTGCGTCGGTGGCCCAGCTCCCCTCTCGGGCCTCCGGGCCAACTGCTTTTGGTGCAGACAACTTCTTGCAGTGTTTGCACTTTTTTTTTTATAGCGAAGGTAGGAATTTATTGAAGAACAAGTACAGACTCCCACGTGGGGAAGGGGAAGACTCTCACAGCACAGACTCCCACGCGGGGCGGGGGAAAGAGTCCCGCACGTCCTTTTGGAGGCATGTATTTCTCCTTCTGTTCAAACTTTGCCACCTTGACATGTAATTTGTAGCTTCTAATTTCATTTTAATCCAAAAACGTTAGTGCATATAAATAAGCAAATAAATAATAAAGACACTAGTGCAATACAAAATTAATAAAGAAAAATAAAAAATAAATAATAAATAAAAACGTTAGTGCAAGATCCACAGACTCCCTCTTCAAATAACAACAAAGCCCACCTCCTTTAAGATTTCTTTGTAAAGCTTGGCTTAAATTCTTCTGAGGATCTCTCAAGATAATGCAAAATTTGAATAAAAGGTGTATAAATTGTCCACTGAAATGTCTGGAGGCGAATCAGAAGTATGACACATTTGCATTCCTATCTTCCCCAACATGAAACCATCTCGATTCCACCTTTATTTTATCTCCCCCGCTTTCAGGATAGTGGGTTTGGGTTGTTTGTTCTCTGCACGCCCAGCATTGACGTGTACGTTGCTGGAGAGCTAGACATGCCAGCATTAGCGAAGCCATACGTGGTCTGATGTGTAGCAACGAAACCTTCCATGTTGGGGGACCACGCCTTCTCCAGATCCCACATATAGGGGTGTCAGCTGCCTGCTGCCTGAAAGTACCCATTTTCCACCGGGATCTTCTTTGCTATCCTTGGTGTTTCCATGTAATTCTTGCATTTGCAACTCTTCATCAAACTCGTCTTTTCCATTCAAGTGGTTGCCACTTTGTCTCCTACCTGGCACAGGGCCAGGGGCCAGGCAAGCAAAGAGGCTGCTCCCGGGGCCTGGGAGCCACCACTGAGCAAGCATATCTGAGTGACTGCCCAGATTCTGTTTTAAACATTAACACACTGAGTCACTGAATCATCAGAGCAACGCTGTGAGGCAGGCACTATTATTATCTCTCTTACAGAGGAGAACAGTGAGACCCACAGGGCTTGCCCAAGGTCACAGGCGGCTGGCAGGCGGC